AAGGAACCCAAAAGGCTGCTGATCTACTCAGCTTCAATGAAGGCAATCAGTTTTCAAATCAACAAGTTATTGCCATATTCAGCTCCTCAATTAAAGCTTAGTCAAGGGATTGACTGTCTCGTAAATGAAGGTTGTGACAAAGGAAAGTCACGATCGAATCTGTTCTTTCCCAAAGAGCAGAATTCGAAGAGGCACCCCTTAGGTCCACTACATACATTGTCTTCTAAGTCCCCCTACTTTTTAGCCTAAACATTGTAATCTAAAGTTTATCAGTGTCAAAAAAGATAGCAAGAAGTTAGAGCACAAAGAGAGATGTGTCATTTTTCAGATTCATTGAGTACTGTACTTCGTTGGTGGTGAACAAATCAAAACCATCCCTGTTGTAATTCTTTCAAGATCTAAAGAAACCCTTGTGACCCAAGAAAAACTGGATGTAACTACCTCATCGGTACCGAACTAGTATAAAATTGTTGTGTGTCTTTTTCTATTTAGTTACTGTCACTTTACTTCTGCTCTTAATTTAGTCAACTGAAATCACTGTTAGTCGACTAAGTTTTTAACTGTCACGACCCAAAATCCCTCCGAATGAGTCGTGATGTCACCTAGTCTCTAAACTAGGTAAGCCTAATATTTACTGAAATATCATTAATATTTACTAAATTCAAATTAAATAACTCTCAATAAATCACAATTCCCAAAACCGGTGGTACAAGTCACAAGTCTTTCTAAGAGTAGTTATACAAAATAAATATAACATTGTTCCAGAACGAGAAGGAATCAATGGAACGTAAATATAAATGAAGGTGACTCCGAGGTCTGTGAACGCAGCAATAGGTTACCGTGAATCTCCACCGCGACAACCCGCGTAGCTACTATCGATCAATACCTGGATCTGTACACAAAATAATATACAGAAGTGTAGTATGAGCACACCACGGCAGTGCCCAGTAAGTATCAAGACTAACCTCGGTGGGGTAGTGACGAGGAACATTCAAGATACCTACTGGTCAAATGAAATGAATAGGATATGATAATAAAATATCAAGATAAAGATAACGAGGTAATATCAACATCGGAAAGAAATCAAAATACAAACAGTAAGAACAATAAAGAGAGAACCTGGGTAGTAATGAACGATAACCAAGTAAATCAGATAACCAAGTAAATTAGATAACCAAGTAAATCAACACTGACATAACAGGAACAAAGACAAGTAAGAATGTATTCAAATAAAGAAGGTAATGCCCACTCAATAAATCACCTCATGTCTAATACACAATCCCGACCATCTCACTCATTGGTTTCTCATATCATAATCTCAACTTCCGAACCTTCAGCACACATGGTATCCTGTGCCCCCGTATTTTCCTATCTCACTTTTAACAACAAAATCCACATGCTATACAATACAAAATGTCCGTACAAATACCCTCAAGATGTTCAAGAAGTCTCATTTACCTAATATAAGTAAATTATAATTTCTAAACTAATTAGCAAAGCAGGCGAGAAAGGATGAAATTGTTTCTTTTGAAATCATTTGAGTAAAGAAAGTACCCCTTTCAATTAAAATACAACATCAAATAGATTATTACCTTAACAAAGTTAATAACTTAAAACTTCGTAGAAATTTCTTTTTAAGTAAAATACAACCTCAGACGGTTTAAGGGGATATAATTGAGAAACTAATTGAATTAAAATGTAACAATTATTGAAGTTTGAAGTATTGGAATGTATATATAAATAAATACGGTGAGGTATTGAAATCACTGTAGGTTCCAACACAAATGATCACAATAATAAAGGAATTTAAACAGTTAAAATACTCAAATTGATAACAACAAATAAACACAGCAACAGAAAGTGCACAGCATCACCCTTCGTGATTTAACTCTCAACCCTAACCATGCAATAAATATTCACTTTTATTCTTTCTTGTTGCGGCGTGCAACCCGATCCCAATCATATAATACTGTTGCGGCGTGCAATCAGATCCCAATCATATAGTGATGTTGCGGCGTGCAACCCGATCCCAATCATATAATGATGTTGCGGCATGCAATCCGACCCCACTTGTCCACCCTTATTACTCCTTGTTGCGGCGTGCAACCCGATCTAATATAACATTGTTGCGGCGTGCAACCCGATCCCATATAATATTGTTGCGGCATGCAATCCGATCCTATATAATATTGTTACGGCGTGCAACCCGATCCTATATACAAATCAACACCAATCACAAAAGAATCCCGACAAGGAAACAATAGTATAACAACAATATCCCGGCAATGGAAACAATATCATAAGCAATAACATTCCGGCAAGGGAATAATATTATAACAATAATATCCCAACAAGGGAAACAATATCATAAGCAATAACATCCCATCAAGAGAATCAACAAGTATATAATAAGGGTCACGAAAAAACCAAGAAGCACGATAACATCAACAAAACAACACGACATAATAAGCACGTGGTAACTACAACGGTAACCACAACAATTGGACATGCAACCTATTTGCACGAAGTCATAGAGGAACTCACAATCAAGAAGTATCAAAACAATAAGGAAGGCAATCACTTCAATCAAGGCAATTAAGGGTCAATGTAACACGTAAGAATTAGAGGAAAGCTAACAACATTATATGGAGCATATAGAGGCAATTTAAGCAATTATTAAACCAAATCATAACAGAATACTTTTCACATAATGAACATAAGAACCTAAGAACCCTAGAGAAAATTTCCCACAAATAAGTTCGAGCACACACTCGTCAACTCGCATGCATGGGCTACAATTAGCATAGAAGACTCAAATCCTAAGGGGAAGTCTCCCACACAAGGTTAGACAAGATACTTACCTCAAAGATGACAAACCGATACTCTAAAATGCACTTCTCGGGTGAAAAGACCTCAGGACGGCTCAAATCTAACCAAATTAACTTCAAAGAACAAATAAAACACATAAGAAACTGTTCCGGATCATAAGGTTTCAATCTTTAACAAAATCCAAAAATCGGTCCAAAAGTCGACCCCCGGGCCCGCACCTCGGAACCTGACAAATTTTTCAAAAACCGAATACCCATTTTAATATGAGTTCAACCATACAAAATTTATTAAATTCCGATACCATTTGGCCCCTCAAATCGTGATATTTCATTTTTGGAATTTCCTTCAAAACCAACATTTCTCCCAACCCAAAACAAAATTAAATGATGAAAAGGAAGATAAAATCATGGAATATGTTAGATTCTAGATGAAGAACACTTACCCAATTGATTTGTATGAAAAACCCTCAAAGAATCGCTCAAAACCGAGGTCCACAAGTCAAGATATGTATAAAATGGTCTAACCCTCGATTTGGGAATATATTCTGCCTGCCCAGGGGTTGTTCTTCGCATTCGTGACCCTTCTCTCGCGTTCGCGATGAGTAAATTCCTCGTTAGCGATTTCCAAACTCATTTTAGACAGCCTTTAGTATAATGGCCATAACATTTTGCACACAACTCCAAATGACAAATGGTTTGATGTTCTGCAAACTACACACCAAGGGATATTGTTTCATAGGTTTCTCATTTTCTGAGTCATTATATATTGCGAGATATAAGCTTCCAAAATCAACCCTGTGTAGCAGAGATTTTCGAACTCTTCCCAGACAGCCTGTAGAGTAACTACCATAACTTTTTGTACACAAATCTAAATTCCAATTAATTTATATTTCTGAAAACTAGACATAAAGGGCCACAACTTTCATATTTAGATAATTTCCAAATTCCTTATAGATTGTGAGATATGAGCCTCCGAAGTCAAACCTGTGCAATCGAGATTTCCTTCTTTGCGAACGCGAGTGTCTCTTCGCGAACGCGAAGAACAAACTTCCAAAAGCCAAATTCTTCTTCGCGAATGCGAGAGGATCCTCACGAATGCGAAGAACAACACCAGATATCAGATAATCAGCATCCAAAGTAGCCCAAAATGATCCAAAACACACCTGAGTCCCCCGGGACCCCGTCTAAACATACAAACAAGTCATATAACCTAACACGGACTCGCTCGATATCTCAAATCATATCAGACAATGCCGAAACGACGAATCACACCATAAATCGAACTTAGGAACTTTCAAACCTTCCAACTTCCAAAACTCGTGCCGAAACCTATCAAATCAACCCGGAATGACGCCAAATTTTGCAGACAAGTCCAAAATAATATAACAAAGCTTTTCCAACTCTTGGAATCGCATTCCGACCCCGATATCACAAAAGTCAACTATGAGTTAAACCTCTCCATTTTTCAACTTTCACCGAAATACCTCAAATTATCCTACGGACCTCCAAATCCGAATTCGGACGCACGCCTAAGTCCAAAATCACCATACGAAGCTGTTGAATTCACCCAGGACCCATTCCCCATTTACTCAAAAGTCCAATTCCGGTCAAATTCTCACCGTTTAAATTTTCATAACTAGTTTCCTTCTTCCAATTTAACTCTGAATCATCCATTAACTGAATTCAACCACGCACGCAAGTCAATACACATATTATAAAGCTACTCGAGACCTCAAACTGCCAAACCGGGCGCAATGGCTCAAGACGACCAGTTGGGTCGTTACATTAACATGCCACAATTCACACCTCCCCCTTTGTAATTTCAAGTGGTATCACAGCAAGGTTCACAAACTTTGCTTAACAGCTAGTGAGGAAAAGATCATGGGATAAAATACGGTCGTTGGTGCACTATTTCAAGAGGGAACTTCCCAAGTTCGACCACCATGCTTCAATGGTCAACATTTTTCTCATTGGAAAGTGCGCATGAAAACCTACACTATGTCTTATTCAAAGTCTGGCGAGTAATCAAAAAGGGAAATCTTCTAACTCCTCCTAGGAAAGACGCAAATGGTCAAGATATAGTATCCACTAATCCACTTGACTTGGATGATTGCACTAATGAGCAAGCTACTGTTATAACTATAAATGCCAAAGCAAAAAATATGTTGTACAATGCTATTAGTGGTGAAGAATATGAAAATCTCTAGCTGTGAAACTGCTAATGAACTGCGGGATAAATTGAAAGTCAAATATGAAGGGACAAATAAAGTAAAAGAAACAAGGATAAATCTATTGGTTCGTGAGTATAAGCTATTTCAAATGAAGGATGGAGAATCTGCTGAAGAAATGTTCTCCAAGTTCAGCAAAATTCTTGGAGGTTTGAAATCCTTTGGTAGAACAATAAAAAGTGGAGAACAAGTCAGAAAAATTCTTAAAAGTCTACCTAAAATTTGGCGGCCAAAAGTCATCGCACTCGAATGTCAGGATCTCGATAAAATGTCCTATGATGAACTCAGAGGTGATCTAATCGCTTTTGAGAAGACTCACTTGGACAGACAGATTCAACAAGAAAAGAATAAAATAGTCGCCTTCAAAGCAACTATGGCTGAACTAGAAGATGAAGAGCAAAATGAAGGAGGAGAACAAGATGAAAACATAGTCATGCTTTCTCAAGTCGTAACCAGTATGATGAGAAGAAACATGAATAGAAAAAGAGGTAAACTAAATTTCAGAAAAGGAAGGACGAATAATGAAAATGATGGAAGATGCTACGAATGTGGCAAATATGGACACATTCAAGCTAACTGTCCAGATCTAAAAAAGAAGCTGAGCGGGACTCTTCAAAGAAAGAAGTCTTTTGGAGCCTGGAGTGATGAAGAAGAATCTGATCATGAAGAAATTTCAAATATGTGCTTCATGGCCCTAGAAGACGAAAGCAATGAAGAATCAGGAGAATGTGGATTCTCAGGAAATAGAAGAATAAATGAAAAAGAAGATTCAGAGCAACTTGGTCTCATAGTAGATGAAGGAACTAGTGAGGTACGTCCCCTAAATTGCCCTAACTATTATGAACTTCAAGAATTCGTTGATATTGTTCTTGCAAATATTGAAAGAGTTCTAAATGAACTTAGAAAGATTCAAAGAGAAAAGAAAGAATGGTCTCTGAAGCTAGAAGTTTGTGAAATTGAACGTGATTTGCTTCAGGAGGAAGTAAATGAACTCCAACTACAATTGAATGGATTGCAAAAATCTACTAGTCACAGTTCAATCAAATCAAATCAGACTATTCGTCACAAATAGAAGAAATCTCATGGGTGTTCCTTCGGTGGAAAGAATGGATATAATACTAATCAATGCAGGAACAAAATCAGAACTAAAAAGGATTCTGAAAATAGTCCATCTTGTTTTTATTATGGAAAAAGGGGCCACACTTCAAATCACTGCAGGTTTAAGAACAACAGAAGATGGGTCTGGCGACCAAAATCTTCAAATCAAACTAACTCTCAGCAGTCTAATCCTTCAGGACCCAAGCAAGCTTGGGTACCTAAAAACAAGTAATCTTTGTTTTGCAGGAACACTACAAGAAAAATCGAAAAGGAAAATAGTATCTCGATAGCGCATGTTCCAGACATATGACTGGTGACAAACAACTTTTCAAAATAGTCACTAAACTAGATGGATGAACAGTTACATTTGGAGACAAATCCAAAGGAAATGTAATTGGTGTTGGAAAAGTTCCTCTAAGTCCAACATGTGATGTAGATGAAGTTTACCTAGTTGATGAACTCGGCTACAATTTTCTCAGCATTAGTCAACTATGTGACAATGATTATGAGGTTTGTTTTAAGAAACATGGTTGGTTCATAGAAGATGAATCAGGTAAAATTATCCTTTCAGGTAATAGAGACAAAAATGTTTATGCTATTAGCAACCTAGATAATCTTGGGGATCAAATCTGTCTTGCTTCTATAGTTGATGATCCTTGGTTCTGGCATAGAAAACTTGGTCATGCCAGCATGCATACTATTCAAAAACTTTCTTAACATAACCTCGTCATTGGACTTCCAAAATTAGATTTTTCAAAGGATCATATCTGTGATGCATGTCAACTCGGAAAACAAACTCGCTCATCTTTTAAAATCAAAAATTTTGTTTCCACCTTAAAACCACTTCAACTACTGGATATGGATTTATTTGGTCCAACTAGAACTGCTAGCATAGGTGGTAGAAAATATACTTTTGTTATTGTGAATGATTTTTCTATATTTACCTGGGTTATATTTTTAAGTCATAAAGATGCTGCTCTAAAGAATTTTGAAGTTTTCTGTAAGAAGATTCAATGAGAAAAGGGTTACTACATCTCTTCTATCAAAAATGATCATGGAGGAGAATTTGAAAGCAGAGCTTTTGAGAACTTTTGCAACGATCAAGGAATCTCTTACAATTTTTTCTCACCAAGATCTCCGCAACAAAATGGAGTGGTAGAACGTAAAAATAGAACCCTACAGGATATGGCAAGAGCTATGATAGTAGAAAATTCTCTACCTCATCATTTCCAGGCAGAAGCGGTAAGCACAACTTGTCATATTTTCAACAGGTGCCTGATTCAACCAATAAAGACTTTATATGAACTATGGAACAGTAAGAAACCCAATATTAGCTATTTTTACCTCTTTGGATGCAAATGTTTCATTCACAACAATGGAAAAGACAATTTGGATAAGTTCAATCCTAAAAGTGATGAACGAATATTTCTTGGTTATTCTCCTTCAAGTAGAGCATATAGAGTTTATAATAAAAGAACTCTCTGTATTGAAGAATCAATTCATGTTATTTTTGTTGATACTAACCCTCGTCCAATGAGTGAAAAATCTCTTAAAGATGAGGAAATTCCTTTTGTCCCAAAATCTGTCACTACAGGAATAGATCATCAAAGTGAGCAGCTGATCAACCAACTCAACCAGCTGAAGAATCCGTTGAAATTCATGAACCATCTTAAACAGATCAGTCGACCAATGTTGAAAGAGATCTTCCCTCAAATACTCCAAATGAATGGAAGGGCAAACCTAGTTATCCTTACAAATTTATTATAGGAGACCCACGGGAAGGAATCACTACAAGAAGATCCCAAAAGAACAAATCTCATGTGGCTCTCATCTCTCAACTCGAGCCAAAAAAGGTGGATGAAGCTCTGAAGGATACACACTGGATAGGTGCTATGAAAGAAGAACTAGATCAATTTGAAAGAAACAAAGTATGGGAGTTGGTTCCAAGACCTTCAAACTCCTCAATCATTGGAACAAAATGGGTATTCAGGAACAAATTAAATGAATCTGGTCAGGTGGTTCGAAATAAAGCAAGATTAGTTGCTCAAAGATACTCCCAACAAGAGCGAATTGTCTATGACGAAACCTTTGCTCCTGTATCAAGACTTGAATCCATTCGAATATTACTTGCTTATGCCGCTCACAAAGGTTTCAAGTTGTTTCAAATGGATGTTAAAAGTGCTTTCCTAAATGGCTACATCTCTGAAGAAGTGTATGTAAAGCAGCCACTAGGATTTGCAAATGTCTCCTTTCCTAATCATATATACAAACTGACTAAAGCCCTATATGGTCTCAAACAAGCTCCACGTGCCTGGTATGAAAGGTTAAGTTCTTTTCTCTTAAATCAAGGATTCAAAAGAGGTAATATCGCTACAACCCTTTTTATTAAGCATTCTAGTTCAGGTAATCTTACTACTCAAATTTATGTCGATGATATTATTTTTGGTAGTCCTAACTCTGCTTTATGTGAAGATTTTGCTCATTCCATGAAAGGAGAATTCGAAATGAGCATGATGGGAGAAACATTCTTTCTTGGACTTCAAATCAAGTAGTCTCCTAAAGGAACTTTCATTATCCAAACAAAGTACACTAAGGAGCCTATCAAAAAGTTGGAATGGAAAATGCTAAATCAATAGGCACTCCAATGAGTCCAACAACTATTCTCGATGAAGACATTAATGGAAAAAAGGTTGACGAAACCATGTACAGAGGGATGATTGGATCCCTATTGTATCTCACTGCTAGTCACCTGATATTATGTTCAGTGTATGTAAGTGTGCTAGATTCCAGTCGGCTCCTAAGGAATCCCATCTCACTGCTGTTAAAAGAATCATTAGATATCTTATTGGTACTTCTGATCTAGGATTATGGTATGATCATTCTAACAATTTCGCATTAAAAGGTTTTTCAGATGCATACTTTGCAGGTGACAAGATTGATAGGAAAAGCACTAGTGGAACATGTCAACTCTTGGAAAATGCATTAGTATCTTGGCATAGCAAGAAACAAAATTGTGTTGCTTTATCAACAACTGAAGAAGAATACTTAGCAATTGGAAGTTGCTGCACACAAGTTCTATGGATTATGCATCAACTTCTCGACTATGATTTATTTCTTACTGCTACTCCTATATTTTGTGATAATACTAGTGCTATTTGTTTATCAAAGAACACTTTGCATCATTCTAGAGCAAAGGATATAGAAATTAAGCATCATTTTATCCGTGATCATGTCGCTAAAGGTTATATTGTATTAGAGTTTATAAGAATTGATTCTCAACTTGCTGATATTTTTACAAAACCTCTTTTGGAAGAAAGATTTTGTTTTCTCAGGAAGAAGATTGGCATTTTATCAAATTTGTAAATCAAATATTTTTGTCATCTTTAAAATATTTTATTTCCTTAAGAATTTTTTTTGTTTACTTAAGTATGTGTTTAATTAATTGATTGTATAGGTGTAATAATTGCTTCTTCATCAGTGTCGCCGATCGGTCAATTCATAATCATCTTTTCCCTCCGAATCCGCTTTTTTCTCTAACCAAGGCGGCCCTTCATTAACCCTAATCGTTTCGATAAAAAAACCCTCTCATCTCCTTTACTCATTTCATCCCTATCAAATAATCCTTTCTCACCATGGCCAAAAGAAATCCCTCTTCCTCCACTGCAACCAGACGAAGCCAACGGTTTCAAAAACCTCTTAATCCTAAAGAACCTGTATACTTGGAGTCATCTATTGACTCGGATTTTCTCAAGTCTGACAATGTGAGCAGTGAATTCTCCGAAAATCCTCCCATAAGTCAGAAAAAGGCTGGAAAAAGTCTCATGGAGCAAACCCCAAAAAGACTGCATGCAAGAAAGGGAAAATGGAAAACACTGGTTTCGGACCTGAGGACAAGTTGATCTTTTATGGACCAAGTGAAAAAGCAAGGTTTGAGTCCTACAAGTCAAAATCTATGGCTTATGGACTCTCTGTAAGTCTTTCTCTCATGAAAAATTTGCATTGTGATGTAATCTCTATATTTGATTTTCAACACCTTTCTTCTCTGTTCAACACTGTTGGTAACTCCATTTATGAGGAACCTGTGAGAATGTTTTATGCAAATCTTTTTGAGAATGACAAAGATGACCTGGAAACTATGGTTTTAGGAACTAGAATTGTTCTAGACTCTTATCAGTTTGAAAAGATTTTCTCTGCTAAGTTTAGTAGGTTTGATGTTTTGTGCAAAATTCTTGGACAAAAGATTTCGAAGTATCCTTTAATGAAGCCAAAATCTTTTTATCTGATAACCCCCCTAATATTGGCCCCAAAAACCGTAAGTTTGAACATCGTGTCTTGGCCCACATAATTTCCACCACTCTTCTCCCCAGAACTGGGTCCCTTAATTCTTTATTCACTAGGGATGTGTTTGTCCTTTACTGCCTTGTTAATAATAAAAGATTGGATTGGTTTGTGTGGATTCGCCAATACATGCTTGAAAGTATTAGGGACATATCTTCCTCTGTTGTTTGTTTGCCATATGGTCTGCTCATCTTACACATCCTCGAAGTTATGAAGGTAGATTTGATACCCTTTATACCCAAGTACATCACCAACACTTATGATAAAACTGTTTTTTCAATGATGGGGTACACCCTGGGTGATGATGGATGGGTTAAACGTGCCAAAGTTGACAGTATTCCAGTGCCAGTTGAAGTTCAAACTGAACAACCATCATCTCAATCGACCGGCTCTCAAAATCTTTAGCCATTATAGAAATATCTGGATGAGGTAAAACAACTTGTGGTTAAGATGAAGGAACAAGTGGAGAAAATCAGGGAAATCACTAAGGAGACAGGTACTGATGTGGCTAAGCTCAGGAAGGACATAGGAGCTACGCGGAGACAAGGAATCAGGGCTTTCAACTCTTTGACTTAGAAAATGGACAAACTAGTCAAAGATTTCGAGAATTCCTATGACTCCTTCAATATCAAAGTT